ATGTAATGTGTTTTTCAATGTTTAACTAATTCTAGGGTTTATGTTTCCCGTACTTTGAATCGGATTTGAGTTTAACTCAGCTTTTATTCAGTTTTTCATGGATTTAATCATATTTCTTTCATTGAATAATTAAAATATTGGTTTAAGTTTCAATTTCAAATCATTTATTGGTGTGATTTAATACTGCTATATGTTAGAAATATATAGTCATTTTTCAATAAATTAATGTAAGATTGTGATTTGGGAAACGTAAATTTTAGGATTATATGTGGGATTAAATTGGTTTGTATTGCTAAATCATTCGGTTAGAAAGTTAGGATAAAAACTTCTAATTGAGTAGAGAATGTATGAATTATTGATGTTGATTGATTCGATCTAGTTGAGGAAATTTCAAAACTTCACTATTTTACAGATAACCTTAAACTCCATTTTTACTTCCGATGGCATTTACATTTTTATACAATAAACAAATTCCTTTCATCAAATTTACGGGAACTCTAAAATTTTGATTCTTTGAATAATTTTTCATCTCCCTGTAGATACGACACCTCAAAATTATACTACAACTACCGCGTTATTCTTTGGGCATAATCACCTGCACTCCCCAATCGTTGACTTTTGTCGTTTTGTGGCGTGCAGTTCCCTCATGTTAATATGTCTCCCGTCCAGAGGAGGTGGTGGTGCTAGATTTGGGTGTTTTGTTTGGGTTTGATTGTGGTGGTGGCATTTTGGGGGAAATTGGTAAGAGTGAGGTTGGGAAAGGAGATAGGGTTTGGTGATGTCAGCACATAGGCGGTGGTGGTGCTAGATTTGGGTGTTTTGTTTGGGTTTAATTGTGGTGATGGCATTTTGGGGGAAATTGGTGAGAGTGGGGTTGGGAAAGGAGATAGGGTGTGGTGATGTCAACACAGAGGCGATGGTGGTGCCGATATAGAGGCGGTGGTGGTGCCGATAATATGTTAGCAGTTTTGCCTCGGAAGAGAGGTGTTTATTTTTTTTATTTTTCTTTTTTTAAAATTTATTTAATGAGAAAATTGTTAAGTTACCATTTTACCCCTCTTAATTTTGTCAAAATTGATCCAAATCTACTATTCTTAGTCAACTAGACGGAAAACGTCCATTTGGATCTCTGGTGCATATTTTTAAAACGTTTGGTACATCTGATGACACAAAACAAAGGTTTGGGCAAAGTATGCAAAAATTGGAAAGGTTCCCTAAATTATTTATAAAAACATGGAAAACTAATAACTATTCACCAAAATTTAGTAAAAAAGTGAATTTATTTTTAACGTCATTTTTCATTGATTTAAGATTTTGAGACTTAGAGGAGTTCAGTGACACTTTAGTTTATACAATTTACTCCATCTATGTTTAAAATAAGTTATAAGAAAAAGTTTATTATTTATATATTATACATGTATAAGTAAGTAAATAACTGTTCATGATATTATATTTAAAAATTCATGAAGAATAGTTGTCGCAAAAGAAAAAAAAATTTCTTTCCGCCATCACATGTTTTGCATAATTGTACATCTGCATATTTGTTTTCAGTTATTCCTCTCAGTGGTATTCATGTTTATAGTACTATTTTTCCTTTATTATTCATGACAAAAAGAGGAAACAATTATTTATTTCAGATAGTTGAGTATATGAATTTGGGAAGAATTTTTGAAATTTATTTTTGATATTTGATTTAAGGGGAGTCATAGTTATTCCTTGATACATAATTGATTGATTATCTGACAGCATGATTGGGTACTTTGCTTATTGATATTATGTTACGTGTTTTGTATAGTATTAATATTATTTTGTGCTGTTACTTCAACTATATATATCTCAAATTTTCATGTTTAGATCCTAAGTTATTTGATGCTCGTAGTAGTATCTGCGTTGGTGTTATACATGTTTACTTGGGTTATTTATCTAACTTAGTTATATGCTTATTATAAGTTTCCTCTTACTTCTCACGTGGTATTATTGTTTTAGTTTGTTTCAGAAACAAGAATGACTAGATTTTAGTTGAAGTTTATTGAGTTTTTTTGGTAGATTGTTGTTAGGTTGTTTTGATTTTGAAATAGATGATTTTGTCACGAAATGTCAAAGGGAGAGATTGTTAGGTCCAAATTTATAATTAGCGATTTCCAAATTTGTAATATTTTCGTAATCAAAATCATGAGTTATTAAGTTGTAATTTAAATCAAAATAGTTTGGGGTAGGTAGAGTTCTAAAAGGAGTTGAAAACAATCAAGAAAATCAAAAAACGAAAAAGATCATCATTCGCGAGCCGATGCTTGAGCAGCAGAGGCATCGCTCTCTTGGTGCAGGCCAGCGCTAGAGGGACGGTGACGTCCAACCAGAATCCTAATTCAATTTTAACACAGATTTTCGATTCTATTTCACCCCAAACACTACCCACTATAAATATACATACCATATTTCATCTAAAGGGATGGTTGAACATTATTTTCATTATAGAGATCATTATTTGAAGATCAATCACATTCCCAAATATTTCTTTATTTAATCCCAAGATCATAGATTCAAATATTCATTCCAAACATTGTTTCAATATTGGTTGAGCCTTGTATTCAATCAAGAGAACACCCTTTAAAGATCAAATCCATATTCCAATATTCTCTTACTTCAATCACAAATCGAAACACGAAAGATCATTAGATCAAACAACAAAAATCCTACCTTTACCTATAAGCCTTCAAAGTTCTAAAGTTGGGAAAAGATGCGCTTGGAGTCTAACATTCCGGAACGAGTTCCTTTTTGGTGATCGGGGCGGAGGAAAAAGTAGTCCAAAATTGCTGGAAATTGCGGGTCATACAACCAAAGGAATTCCTTGATAATTTACTATTTACGTTACTAGAGTCAGCTAAGGTTTAACGGTATTTGGATTAATTGTAAATAACTTTTTTAGTAGATTTTACTGTTAAGTTTGTTCGGAGATTTTTTATCCTAAGAAAAGGTTTTCCTTCGTGATTATATTTGGTGTTATTTACCTTTATTGCTTTTGATCTATATTAATTAATTGACACTTAGGGTTTAAATTGATTTTAACCTTAATCATTTAAAAACAATAAATAATTAACTTGTTACTTGTTATTGATTAATTGAGTATATTTGGGTCTAAATATTCCCCAACAATTTCCAATACCTACAATGACTTTCGTCAGATACTAGTTCTCCGTAGTTGTAGAGTAGATGCTAGTTCAGGTAGATTGCTCTCTTATGTCATTCATACAAATGAGAGACTGGGCAAGTCTATAAAAAGTAGATGCATTAAACTAAATAACAGAAAGATGAAATCCTCAAACTCCCATAATTTCCTAGCCATTGCAGCGCTCGTGGTATGCAAACTTTATTTACAAAGATAATAAAGTGTGGAAATAAAAAACATATGAGAGGGAGCATATTTTCGGAGCTTGTACGAAAGTAGCACCAACTACAAAAGAAGTATCTAGAGAAAGAGCAAGAGCAAGAGCTGTGGGGAATTTAACTAAAAAGCACAAAACTCAGGCAATCATGACTACAAAAGACAAAGGGATCAAAATCATGGGCAATTTTCCTCGATAACGTAAAAGATTTTACAAATTAGATTGTACCTTTCATTTTTTATTTTCTCTCTCCTAACAAGGATAACCCAAAAAATTCCTCATAAACCAATGACACATTAATTCATCTGTAAAATCGAGTCTTGGACAACCATTTACAACAGGGAAGAATCTAGGATTGTTGGTGAACTAAGACGATCGTTGACCGTCGATGACTGTTATAGCAAAATCGTTTATTAAGCAAATGAGATAATTTGCTTTTGATTCATCAAGTTGGTGCACTTAAAGAAAGTTCGATTGTGAGCACAATCAAAGAGATCGACGTGAATTTTCAAAGTCTTCTTGTGCTTACAGTCCCTAAATCCAGTCTTCGTGAATGCATGTATCTTGACCCCCTCAATCAAGTTTGAACAAGTAACAATACAAACAATAAGTCGCATAATTTTTGATACTATATTCTAACCAATAAAATTCAGAGAATCATTCTTTTCTGAAATACCGGACTAGATGCACCACTAAAAATAGGTTGAGACTTTCATTTCGGTTGAAAAAATCGTTGCATAATTTGTACGAAAATTAAACATAAATTAAATTTCACCTTGAACAATCAACAATTTCCAATTTCTAATTTCTAACACCAATTGAACATTTATCACAAATCATAAAATTTCCAATTCACATATTCACAAAATTTACAAATTCCCCAATTTTCATAAATCATAATCATCACAATTAACATACTAAATCACCAATCAAATTAAAGCATCAAAAAAAAAAAAAAAAAGAATAAAGGCGCTAAAAAGAATAAAGGCGCTCACAAATTTTCATTTGGCAATCGAGTCGACAGTTACAATCTTACACTTACAAACACAAATGTTCACAAAAATAGAATAGAGACACTCATTGGCTCACAGCGGCAATCGGCGGCACTATAAAGGGTTTGGAATTTGGAAATGATAAAATGTCGTGATTTCAGCCTCTCATAATAGTATGGTTAATGAATTGGAATGGGTATTTCGGACAATGGCTAATTGACTAAATGATGTTTAAAGAGGAAATTACAGAGAAACCTGGTTTTTAACTTTCAATTTCAAGAATCAGGATTTAAGTATATAATTTCACAAATCAAGTTATAATTAAATTATTTATTAAAAATTAGATTATATTACAATTTCTCTCTCCACTTTCTCCCCTATGTTTTCCTACACGCCGTCGGCCGTCTCTCTCTCTCTCTATACAAAAGGAGCTTAGGCTATACCGTGTCTCCGTTGACGACGATCGAGCCGACAGAAAACTAGGTCTACATCTAATCGTCGCCAAGGAGCCCATTTTGTGCATTGGAACTCCGTCTCCGCCTCCATAGACGACTACTCGCCCACCCTCTCCGGCCCACTCTCTCTCTCTCTCTCATTCTCTCTCTACCTTCTCTAGCGGGGAATATACCCGGTGAGCTCGTTACCCAAAACCGAGAGGTATTCAAGGTTGGAAAAGGTGCCGAAGACGAATCCGGAAGAGCTCCGGGCGTGCTTTGAGTTGGGGTGCAACTTCGATTCGCCCGATTTGGATTCAAAATTGTCATCTGCTTTTCCAGCGTTAGGGTTTAATTTCCAGCCAAACTCATTAACTATTGAATATTAACAGTATAATTTCCAACCATTGTTAATATTTATCATTTGTGGTGTTGGCGGTGATGGTGGTAGTGGTGGTGCAGGTGATGGTTGTGGCGATCTGAGCTCCAAAGAGGTGGCGCTCGTGCTTTCTAGGCCAATTGAGGTGCCACTAGGCTAGTTAGCCATCTGGGCATCACTTAAAGGTAGAACTGTGGCGGCGGGGGTTTTGTTTGTGTTTGGCTGGTTGTGTGTTTGAGTTTAGGTTTGATCTATAAGTGGAATGGTCAAGGTGTTAGTAGTGGAAGAGGGCGCTAGCGACTTGCCCAATTGTTTGAGTTTGAGTAATAGTTAGAGTTGTGGGGATTGTGTTGGTTACAGGTTAGTTGCCTTCTCAGTAGTTTGATTGTGACCGATTTTGTGTTAATTGTGATCGATTGTGACTTGAGATTGACCTGGTCACAAACTGTCACACTCAACACAAATTTGGTCACAATTAGTCACATTGAATACAAATTTGGTCACAGTTAGTCACATACAGTCACACTGAACACAAAATTTTTTTCGGTAATTTTTTAGAAGGTGAAGGCAAGGATGAGGTGGTGGTAGGTGGATCCATAGGGGTAGGGGTGTGATTTTCAATTTTTAATTTTCTGTAAATCTTTGAGTCGCCGGAACAGTCGTCGGAGAGGTCGTCGGAACAGTTACCGGAGTGACCGCCGAAGTAATCGCCGGAGCTGATGGACCTCTCCGGTGGAGAGGTGAAAGGAAGGTGGTGTAGTAGGGTGATAAGATGTTGTAGGTGAGGTGGCATTGATAGAAATAATTAATGTATATTATATTATATTTTAATATTTAATAAATTTATTTACCACCTGATTTTTGAAATATTTTAATGAGTTTGTTATTTATAAAATGTAATCTTTAAAATTAGGAGTTATGTATTGTTCCCATGTTTAAATAAGGAAAAAAATGGTGGCCCAAAAACAAAAGCCCACTACCAAAAAAAGGCCCAAACAAATAATTCATCCCATCTTCTTCACGCTACTCCCCTGGACTCCCCCTCCTGCCTATTCACTTTCTTCTGTCGGTGCCAACCGTCATGGACGGAACTCAAGCTTCCGGCGGAGCCAACACGGGAGGCCGCGACAGCTCGCCTGGTGTTGGCTCTGTACTAACGGCACATGTTTTAACAAAGATAAAGATATTTCTATTCACTAGATTAAGGTAGAAGCATCAAGACATATAACAGTCATTTTGGAAGTCTGTACTAAGCATAGATATATGCAAAACGGGCCCACAGAATATCGATTCATATACTTGAAATAAGTTACACTTAAAGAATTCATGGTTTTGCCAGAGAGCTCAGTGCTGAACGTTGATACGTGAAGCAAGGTTATCAAGTTCACAACATATGTATCAAGAGAATATTCATTCACAAATGAAGAATGTTGGAACCAGGTAACTTGCTAGTAACACCATAATCCAACTAATAACATCATGCATAAGCAGTTATCTCATAAAGAGAAAATGCACTGATTCTTACAGCTTCGCATGATATCCAATCCAGTCAGGTATCTTCATGTAGTACTACAGTAGTTGACTACCTAAATGAGTTCAATGACTAGGCAAAAGATTAGTGTGTAGAAATGATGCCATACCATCATTAGCAGTGTTGGGAAATTTGGGCTTCCCCCAGCTGAGATTAATCCAGAATTACAAAGAAGAAAATACACCAGCAATTGCAGATCCAGAAGCATAGATGCAACACAGCAGAATCATGAATAAACCAGCAAGAAAAGAAACCAGCACCAGCAGAATGAAGAAACAGCAGCACAGATTTAAACAGGAAGAAAATCCTCTTCCTCAAGCCTTTATTAACCAAGACTTAACATGATTTCCTTAACCAGAAATCATCAAGACATTTACATGATTTTCTTAACCAGAAATCATCAAGAAGATTTGCTAGATTTACAAGAGTTTTACCACTCTATCTTATCTCACTTTCTCCTACAGAGATATTACATCCTCTCTCTCTTTCAAGCTCTCATCATTCATGCATTTTCGAGCTCCTTCTTTCTCCTATCTAAGGCTCCTATTTATAGACCTAAATGGAGCATCTAATCAGTTAAAAACTAACCAACTAACATAGGCTCCACTTGGTTATAGATTCCAACCAAAAAAACTGAAATGAGGCTCCTCCTTCAACTGATTTTTATTCCAACAGCTTTTTGTAAAAGCTAAGGTTGTCTAATTCTTTTTCAAGAATCAATTTTCTTTACAAGCAGCTCCTTGAATGTTCAGGATTTTCATAACTAAGTTGTAAAACTCAACATCGGCAAAAGATGGGACTTTCTTTCCTCTAACAAACAATAAAAATGGTCCTCATTGCGAAAAATCCTTGAATGTTCAGGATTTTCATAACTAAGTTGTAAAACTCAACATCGGCAAAAGATGGGACTTTCTTTCCTCTAACAAACCATAAAAATGGTCCTCATTGCGAAAAATGCATCCTTTCTGTTCCACCTTAAATCCTTCTTGGACTATAACTATAACTGGCAGAATTTGATCACTGGCTGCATCATGCAGGCTACTAGGTAGCACCTCCTTGAGATAAACACTCAAATATTGACCATTGTCTAATGTCCCCAACTTTAAACCTTCATTCATCTTAACAAAAACATCATTTGGCAAACAACCAGATGATGAACAAATTACAATCAATGAAGTATATTAACCTGAATGATCGCAATCTCAATCCATGTAGTAAAATCATCCAGAAAAAAATGACTTTTTATGACATGTACCAAAATCATCAAGAAAAGTTAACTTTTTATAACATGTACCAACCATCCCATGATCACCACCATAATGATAGTCACATCCTCAACCACCGTTCTTTTTTTTTTTTTTAAACCTTGAATCAATCTCCAAATCATTTTATCTACATCAGCAACAGCTTCAGTAATTTAAGGACATCGGGTCCAAATTTCAAAATATTGAATGCTAGATTTTGGTTCAGGTTTATTGGATATGACAATTTCGAAATTTAGAATTCTCGTTATTTCGAGAAAGTTAGTCATTTTCTGGGGCCAACCCTCTGTTTGTCTTGAGATTTCGAAGTTTCTAATTTTGAAATTTCATACGCATCAAAAACTTTTAAATTTAGAAATATGTAATTATGGTGTGGCATGAATAAGTATAATTCAGAAGAACATAAGTTCGAAATTGTGATAACCTCAGACGATACAAATGGCATCCTGTTGATAAGTTAAAGAAAAAGAGATATATAAGAATGAGTACCAAATTAAGAGTTAAACACTATTAAGGACATGATAACTCGTGTTCAGATAAAAGAGATGAATAACATCTTTGAACTTGGACTTGTTAGTTTACTTTAGCAATAAATAATTTCGTCCTCCTTCTTCAAATGCTATAATTTCATCAATCTAGTCCACACAATGTAAAATTTCTTACATGGTTAGAGTGGTAACACAAAGTACAAATAAGTTTTGAAAAAAAAAATGTCATTTTGATATTAAAATAGATATATATACAAACTCGGAGTTATAGAATATCTTGCAAAGTTTGATGCAAAATTGAAAATGAAGAAACATAGGTCGACACTGAAAATCAAGATTTATCCCACAGAATTTGACAGGAACAACTTATGGCAGGGTTACTGCCAAACATTACCAGTTGCATTGAAATACAAACACATAGGAACATTAAACTATCAAATTCGCATAATTTCCGAGCATTTACGGTGCTTGTAACATGCAAACCATTTACCTAGAGAGTTGACAACTTTAGAAAGAAAATGGTAAGAAATGAGCATATTTTGGGTCTTTTATGATATCAGCACTAACTAAACAAGAAGATTGATGACAGAGATACAGGGAATGTAATTTACCAGCACTTAGCTATAGTAATCATGAAAGAAATTATCAGAATCATGGACTAGCTATAGTAATCATAAAAGAAATGATCAGAACCATGAAAACTTTTCCTTGATCACATAAAAGATATCACGAATGGACAGTAAATCCATAATAAGTACTTTTTATGGTATAAAAAAGTGAAATTTTAAAGGTTTCTCGCATTGTTGTTAGCAAAAAATAGCTTAACTTCTAATTGTTAGTTTACAAGCCCTTAGTAATGTATAATGTCTTCAATAACCTTAATGTAAACAGTCCTCTTTTTTCGTCTCCAGTTGATCAAGCTGATCGAATTGAAATCAACCCCTTTCCAGGTCAAATGGAACCCAAATTTGGGTAGATTTGACACTATACTTGTTGAGTCGATTCAACCCCCTAATTGAAGAAGATGAACAGTTTACTTTACAAATACATATGAGGATTTAACGAGAAGTTGAGAATAACCCGATTCTGTAGGCCGCTTAACATAATGTTATGTAAGACCATTTTTCTTTCTCTTTCTCCTAACATGGTTACCCTAGGAAATTTCATCATAAACAAAAGAAGTTGATCACATACGAAATCGCAGCTCGGAAAACCACTTACAGTTTAAATATCACATGTTATTATAAAGCTAAGTGAATTTCTATTCACCAGATTAAGGTAGAAAACATGAAGAAATACAACAAGTGACTGTACCGAGCATCATCATGAACGTGTGTATTACACTCTGATATAAGAAAAAAAGTTCGCAAGACCTCGATTCATGTACTTGAATAACATTACGTTTAAGGAATTCATGGTTCTGCTAAAGACCATTGTGTGGAACGCTATTCAATCTGACAAATTAAGCAAGTTTATCAAGTTCACAACATATGTATCAAGAGATTATCATTCTTACACATGAAGAATGTTGAAATCAAGAAACTGGCAACACCACAATCCAACCAATATCGCCTGGATGCATAAGAGGTTACCTCATAAAGAAATGCACCAACTGCAGTTTCGCATAATATCCAATTCAATCTGGTATCTTTGAGTAGTATCGCTGCAGTTAACTAGCTAAACGAGTTTAATGACTAGGTAAAAGAATACTCTGAGGAAACGATGCCGTCCCATTATTAGCAGCTCCTTGAATGTTCAGGATTGTTGTAACCAAGTTGTATATCTGAATGTTTTCAAATGATGGGACTTTCTTGCCCCGAGCAAACTGAGGTCCGTGAGCAATAAATATGGTCCTCATTGAGAAAAATGCATTGTCATATCCATGTGCTCCTCCACATTCTTGTCTTGTTGATCTTTTCTGTTCCACTTTATATCCTTCCTGGACTAAACCTATAATTGGTGGGATTCGATCACTGGCTGCATAATGCAGCCTACTAGGCAGCTCCTCCTTCAGATAAATACTCAAATATTGACCATTGTCTACTTTCCCTGACTTTAAACCTTCATTCATCTTAGCCACAACATCCTTTGGTGAATAACCAGATGGTGGACGAATTGCAAGCAATGGAGTGTAATATTGTACCCATTCCGTTGGTATTTCAATCCATGAGGTCAAATCATCCAGAAAAATCAACTTTTTATCGCATGTACCAACCATCCCATGATCACCCACCATAATGATAGTCACATCCTCAAATACCCCCCTTTCTTCCAAACCTCGAATCAACTTCCCAATCATTTCATCTATATGAGCAACCGCTTCAGTAATTTGAGGATCATCAGGCCCAACCTGGTGACCCTGATGGTCAGGGTCCTCAAAGTACAGAGTCATAAACGAAGGAATATCGCTACTAGGCAAATCAAAGTACTTCAAAACAGTATCAACTCTCTCCTCAAATGGCACAGAACTATTATAAAACATACAATAATCCTTTGGACAATTCCAAGAACCTTTATGTACCTCAGAACCAGGCCAGAAGTAAGTCGACGCTTTCAAGCCCTGATTTACCACAGTCTCCCACAATGGCTCACCCAGCCACCATTTGGGCTCGTGACTGCGCATAGTGAAGACCTCGTTGGTATCGGGATCAGTAAAATAATTATTAATTATTCCATGATAAGCAGGATACAATCCAGTGACAATTGAGTAATGATTCGGGAAAGTAAGTGTTGGAAACACAGGAATCAAACCTAACTCTGCTTCAGTCCCATTCTTAATCAATCTATTGATGTTAGAAGTGTTGGTCTTGAATTGGTATCCAAATCGAAAACCATCCGAGGAAATCAGTAAAACAACTGGGTGTTTGAGCTTTGTGAGTGACCTTGCGACTTCATTAATGGATTCGGAATTGCCAGATGATGAAGAGGAGAAGAATAAAAAGGCAAAGGCAGTGGCAGCAGACAGAGCAACACACGAGGATAGAACCAGAGAAATGAATAAAACTGATTTGGTGGAAGATTTCTGTTGTGAATCTGAGGAAGATAGAAGGGCGTCGGTTGAATCTGGTAATTCTTCTTCCCTTTTTGTTGGAATCTTTGAGGTTAAAATAGATATTGAATCTGAATCCATAACAGGGTTTGAGATTCTTGATCTGGGTTGTCTTCTTAAACAGTATACACAAGAACAGAAAAACCTTTAATTAAGATTCTTATATCGATTTCGAAAAGGGTTAGGCACATGAATAATACGAAGTTCTTGGTTTCAAGAATTTGCGGTCTGAATTGAGTGTGTTCGTTCCTGTAAGTGAAGCAATGCCACATTTTCCAAATGTAGGGTAAAACGAATGTCACTTTTTGCAACGTGAAAATTGAAATCGAATACCAAGGAATCAATTTAAGTTATATTTTCTTTGTTTTCATGGAAAACGAATTCTTATGAGTTTTATGAGTTTTTATTTTACAACTAACATGAAATTGGAATTCATTTCCACATTTGCCTATCAAATGGACCCGGAGTGAGATGAATGAATAAGGGATCGCTGAGAGGATCATGTGATAAAAAAATTTGGTGAAGTGAAATCATACAATTCGAAATGAACTGCGCTTCTTGAATTCTCAAGGTTGACATTCCCGGTGTCTAGAAAATTTGGTCATTTATTTAAAAAAAATGTTTTTAAAATGAATGTACAAAAATTTGCCAACTCACTTGGTGCCTATATGAATCTCATTTTTTGTATTCAAATTCTTTTTTCTACAGTAGCGTGAGAGGAAAGGACGTGCACATTGACTGTGTTGTGTCAGTGCTCAGCTTTCCCCCAAAATTACCGTTGGACCACACTTCCAATTATGCTCCTCTTACACTTGCAAATCAATTTTGTACGCAACAAAACTCACATCTTTACCCTACACGCTAAAAGTACCACCGACAGAGGCTTCATCGCCGCAACTGAGAAACAATCATCGGTACAATCCACTGATAGTTGATCCAAAGGGTAGACACAGAAATACCAACAACAAGCATCTTCATCGGAGCAACAAGATTAGTCCAATTACAAACAAGCACCTGACTCTCCGCCATCCTCCGATCGTCTCTTCAAACAGTACTACCCTTCCATGGACAACGACGGGTCCCAGTGGACGTGTTACCCAGACGACACGGTAAGATATTCCATCTTCGGAAGATGAGAGCTCCATTTTTAAGTTGATCGAATTCCGCGAACATCAATGAAAGGCTCCTTTTTTTCTGCCTTACGTTGTCGTCTTCCGTCCAACCAAATATGTAATTCAACATCCCATTTTTTCAATTGCAGCGTTACCCGGTTGGAGACAAAGACCCGTTGCCTCATAAGTCTTCTAGCCGTCGTTCGCCTCAGGCAATGGTAAGGAAGTCGGCACGATGGAACCCAACGGAGCACAAAGTCTTCATTGAGACCTTTGAACTGGTCATCGCTGAAGGACATCGACGTGGCAAATGCTTTTCCCCGAACTGGTGGGCTCAAATCACAGAGTTGTTCAACGCTAGAACGGGAAAGAGTTGGACTACAAGCCAAATGAAGAACTACTGGAACAAACTCCGAACAGAGCACAAACACCTGTTCGAGTTACTGCGATGCACGGGAATTGAGTACCGCTCCGGATCCGGAAGAATTCACGCCCCGGAACATTGGTAGGAAGCTAAAATTAAGGTCCGTTATCTTTCTGTATTCATTTTCGCCTGCTGCAGTTCGAGATGCAAGTGATTGGGAATGTTTCAACACTAGCTAGTGTAGATATTTTTCTTGACGAATTCAGGATGTATTCTTTGTTTGCTGTTTGTGTCCTCGTCTAATGCATTATCATCTTTACTTTGAATAATATCATTTAGAAAACATTGATAAAATTGGAAGCGCCCAAAATCTCAACGTTGGGTAAAGTATCTAATAATAATTAACATAATGGATATTTAGTTGCTTCAAATTGGATGATCCAACCTTGAAAAGTTTCTCATAAGATCATTTCTCTTTACACTACAGATAGCATAAATGAGCAAGACTTGAGTTTGTTTTTGTTCGATAAAAGCATCTGTCTTTCATGATAAATAATCTGTTAGAATTCTAGCACTAGATTTCTAATCCAATTGGAACTTTGTATCTTTTTTCTTCTCTCAATATGAATATTTGTAGTGCAATAATTAATAATCCATGTGAAACCTCGATTTTTCTGTCCATATGTGTACATACTAAAAGAACTGAACACATTGATACAACTTCTAGGATGAGTTCTGTCCATATGTGTAGTAAAAGAACTGAACACATTGATACAACTTCTAGGATGAATATGTGTAGTGCAAGAATTAATAATCCATATACAAACTGTTGGCTGTAATGTCAAAATATTGTTCATTTTTCCTTACATTTGGAAAACAGGATTATTAAACTAAGTCTTGTGAATCCACTAGTATAAATAAAGAAGCTTGAATTTAGTGGGTTTTAAAACATAAGAGACTAAGATTTCACATTCTACCAATCTGGAAAGTGAGAGAGTACCAATTTGGGTTCGAGATGCAAGTGATTGGGAATTTTTCATATCAGAAGTTTAGATATTTTCACGTGAGCA